CTATTTTTAACTTCCGTAGGGCAAGTTATATTAATCGCAAAAAAGTTCTAAATTAAAAAAAAAAACAAAACATAAGAAATAAGATTTTTCTAAAAACTTCTATTTTTTTCAAAATTCTCACAAATCTAATTTTCTTTTTGAACTTTAGTTTTCGCTACGGTAAGTTCCAGCAATTTCCTTCAAGGCACGATGTCATGTATCACTAGTTGATCTATATTTTCAAGGAAAATGGACATTGTCACTGCACGATATCAGGTTGTCTAGAGCGTGACCTTGAACTCATGACCCTGACCACACAAGACAGCGCGCTTAACCGTTACACCATGGAACACCCATATATATATATATATATATATATATATATATATATACATATATAAATATGCAAATAAAATTTCAATGACTCTTGTTTATCATTATTTCATAGTTTCAATGACACCAAGAGAGTTCACGATGCGCACAATGTATATATGTATATATGTATAGATGCATGTATATATGTATATTATATATTATTTATAAATATATATATATACTGTTGAATATATAAATTTCTTGTGAATATGGGATTCTAAGTATGCATGTATGGACACATTTTGCGTTTTAAAAATACATTTGAGAAGTTATTGGCTGTTTGTCCTGATCACATGACCGCCTGTCTAGACTTACATACACTTGGATAAGTAGCAATATCAATTTGTAAGGGGCTCACATGTGTATACAAACACAATTTATGTATACATATATACATATATATATATATATATATATATATATATATATATTATAAATATAAATTTATTATACCTATATATATTTAAATATATAGGTTAAATTTTAATTCCCAATATTAAGACTTTATTTCTCTGAACTAAAAATACTCCGCATTTTCAAAACAAAACAATTTTTATTTTTAAATTATTTAATTTAATCAACGATTCGAAGATATGCAATTGCTAATTATAAGAGTATTATTTACATGCAAACATTCAAACACACACACCTAAAACTCACAATCATTAATTATAATTTTCAGTGAATCTATATGAGTGCTTTTTGTGGTTATCGATTACACGAAAACTTGATTAAATTTTTTTTTGAAAAAAAAAAATACATATTTTTTAGTTTATAAAAATAAAATCCCGTATATACTTTTAGAGAAAAATAGTAGAAAATTATCACCTAACAATAATAATATTTAAATAGACAGTAGCACAGTGGTTTTCAGTGGTTTTCATACAGCGGTTTCCCCAACCCCCGTTTTTTTGAAAAATATTGCAACCCCTACTTAATTTTGATAACAATCCTAAATAGTCAACTTGAATAATTCATATATTAAGCTATAAATTAATATTAACTATTATATAATTCAGTTCATCATATAATTTCTTGTTTTTTTTTTTTTGAACATAGTATTTTGAAAGAAGCTATACGCCCCCTTGCATCAACTTTGCGCCCCCTGAGAGATTTTGCCCCACAGGTTAACAACCACGGCAGTAGCATATATAAAAAATTGTGCATCATACCTATGAGAGTAATTGTGTACTAATAATGTCATTAATTATTATCATTAATTGTAGTCCTATATCTTTGTATATCTTCAAATGCAGTCTTTCTTATAATATCTAAAATTGTAATCTTTGTTTATAATATTACAATTGAAATATATATATTTTTAAGAGGTTTGCAGGTTTTCCTTAAATAATCATTATTTATGTTGTAATACTTAAAAATTATATATTTTTATTATTTGCAGATTTTATTTTCTCTCATACATTGTTAGCTTAATATACATATATGCGTGTATAAATATATATATATATATATATATATATATATATATATACATATATATATATTTATATATATATATATATATATATATAATTGCAAATGTATATGTATATATGCATGTATGTGAATATACGGCATTTCCAAATTTGTATTCATGCGGGCTATACACAGAATACTTGAAGATTTCCAAGGTAAGGTTATTTCAAATATAAAACATTTTTCCCATGTACAAATTTGAATATATATATATATATATATATATATATATATATATATATATAGGTGTTTCCAACCTTTCCCACATATTTGGACATATCTTTTCAAGAACATTTTGAAATTTTGCTGTGTAAATAGCTTATTAACTTCCTGTAAGGTAAGTAATTATAATTGTTCAAACTGTCCTGTAAGTATAATAATTGTTCAAAAACCAAAAATGATTTTTTTTTGCATATCATTACGTTTCAGAAGTTTCTGA